TTTTGGTACCGGGGATCTAACTTGGGTCCTTTTGCTTGCAAGGCAAGTGGTGGAACCACTGAGCTAAATCCCCAGCCCAATCAGTGCTAGTTCTAAGAAGTTAAAAAATAGCAAAGGAAAGCAGGATGCAAGAAAAACTTTTATCACTGGAAATACAACTATAAAAATTTGACTGTGATTGTAATAAAATAACAAACAGCATCTGAACTATGAAAAATTCAAATAAATAAAAATGAAGCATTATAGAAAATAGTTCACTAAAACAAGAAGCTTCGCAGTAAAAACTCTGGCTGGCACATTGCTCAACGTTCACAACTGTTTTCTGAGTAGCTCAGCTGTGTCTGACTTCGTTCGAAAGTTCACATTCATTTCTGAAGAGAAACCTTGAAAACCATGTTCATTTCGGAGCTTATACTCTGTTAGCGAAATAAAGACTAAATAATTAACAATATTCTATGTTTCCATAAATAAAAGCAAAATAGAGGACTAAGAAGAGCCTGATAGGGTTGCAGGAGGTAGGGAAGGACACAGTCAAACAAAAGGTGACATCTGAGTAAAGATTTCAACTAGGAGAGGAGGTGGATGTGGAGACTTTCCAGAGAGAATAAACAGCAAATGTAGAAGATCCCGGGCCAAAAGAGACCTGCACTGCTTCCAGAGAAATACAAGGAAGCCAGCGTTTCCGAGTGAGGTGGACACTGAGTCAGAGACATGAGGAGAGCAGGGTCAATCCTAATAGCTGCTTTGCCTTTTATTCTTAGAGAAACAAAGGGTGATCTGAGAGTTGTAGGCAGAGAATTTACATAATCAGATGTATGTTTAACCGTGATAACTCAGATTTTTCTGATACGATTTTTATGGGGACTCTAGTTGAAAGTTTCAAATTAAAGTGTTCTAACATTTAAAATGGCCTTTGTACAACTCATAGAGTTCACTTGTGAATATCTCATGTGCTCCTTAGGATGACAGTGCACATGTATTTGCTCTTTAGTACAAAAATTGTAAATGTGTTTCTTTTCCTGCATAACTAAACATCTTCCCTTCCCTATTGATATAACGTCACAACCTAACATGCTCAGACTCTAAGAACGACCATTCTAATGTTCTTGCACACACTTCAAGTTTAATTCTTTCAAGCTTAATTCCTCCACCTCTGATGCTTCTCCTGCTTCCAAAGCCACCCCCATGTATTTTCTATTTGCCCTTCAAAACCAAGGCAGTTGCTGCCAAACATTAATTGTGTCCATTCTTGTTAACCAATATAATAACATAAATCCTCATCGTAGGAATATGCATTCCCAATTTTCAGTAGTTATTTGTGTATTGTATAATTTGTGGCTCTTTTATGTGTTTTGTTTGTGCAGCAAGAAATCTCATGGATATTTGGTTTTGTGTCTCTATTTCCCACACCAAACACAAGTCTCAGCTCACAACAGGAGCGCATTAAGTAGCTAATGGCTGCTTATTTTGATCCTTCAATCCTATTCTGTAAATATATGTGTCACAGTGAGACTGCATTACTCAGAACTGATGCAGTGACGGGGTGTCCCTAGGAAGCCCGAGGAAATGGATGATGGTAGGGAAGGCGAGGTGAAGAAACACTTCAGATCCAGGGCACCACTGTCGCTGTCCCATCGCTCAGGTGCTGAATAGCTTATGCACGGGATTCACCAATGGTTTTTATTAAACTAAAATAGTAATTTATGTTTCTTTTCAGCCACTATAACTTCAGTTTTTATTGCTTTTTGCTGTTATTCGTGCATTTTTATTGGTAACATCTATTGTAAACATAGTAAATCCTTGTTTTGAAAAGCATTTTTATTATAAATTTTGGGGTACAAGTACAGTCTACTATAACAACTGATTAGTAGTAGGAAATAATCAAATGCTTTATTTGAGATTCTTATACAATATCAATATCTTCCTAAGCATAAAAGTTGCACATTCAAAACAAAATACTTTCTTTTTATCATTTTGTGTGCAAGTATGGCACCTAGCACGGATTAAAAAGACATATCGTACCTTGTATTCCACGCTCTACCTTGCTTTCTAGTGGTGGATATCAATTTGCAGTGGAGTTCTCTTCAGGCGAGATGAGGCTCTCAGCTCTCTGTGAGGAGTGAAGCGATTAGGCTGGGTAGCGAGACAATAGGGTAGCAGTAGTGCGTCTGCTTGGGATCACATGATTTCAGCACAAAGCGGTCACTTAAGGGGGTTCAGACTAAAGGCCACAGCTGCAGAATGTTTGAGTTTTATTGTATTTTGTTTTTAACTTAAGGTGCATTCTCTCCTGTCTCGCAAGTCTTATACTCCTGGTTACCTTTTTCTTTGCTTTTTTAATCCTTTATTGCTAACTCTTTTGTGGCCTATTATAGATTCCATTTTTTTTTAAATAAATGATGCCTGATGATCATTGCTTAAATGTTGGGGCAGATGTCCAAATCTTCAAAAACTGTGATGTGTAGTTTTTATAATCCAGAGAAAGAACTAATTCCTAAGACAGAGTCCTGGGCCCAGAGACCATACTAAAATCAAGCATGTTGTGAATAGAGCTAATATGACCTAACTTATCTCCTGTCTCTCTCAACAGTTTTTCTATCACTGAGACAGTAATAGAGAAAGAGAAGGACATATAGAATATATGAGATTTAGACCTGAAAATGTATGCTTGATTATGAATATATGAGCCAAAGGGACAGCAGCTGATAATATAGCTCAGCTTTGCAGTCCATCAGCATTTGATGCTTTAGTGTAGTGAGTAAAATGTTGGGGAATTGTTTCATATATCTGTTTGATTTTTAATAAAATCAATGTTGATTTGTATGTGTTACTGAAAAGAAGAATTTTGTTTTCACAATGTGTTAGGAAGGATTATTGGTTGTTTTAAAATATTGCCATTAATAATAACCACAGTCATCTTTTACATGTGACCTGACAAATAATCTTTGCTTTATACCTCAGGCATGAACTTCTTGAAGAAGCTCGGAGGAAAGGATTGCCTTTTGCCCAGTGGGATGGACCAACTGTGGTGGCTTGGCTAGAGGTAAAAAAAACAAAAAATCAAACCAGATGTATCTCACATCAACCACTAATTTACTCAATTTATATATTTTTAGAGACAGGTAAAAATAATTTTCTGAAATCACAATTTCCCAGTAGCCTAGAATTGCTCAAAAGAAAATACTTGCTTTATCTAAGGATATGATTTTACCTTAGCTGTGTGTGTGTGTGTGTGTGTGTGTGTGTGTATTTATTGTCAAAAGTATGCAGTGAAAGGAAAGGAAAAGTCTCTAATTCTACCTCTGTGCATCTAGAGTAGGAGAAGAAATAAATACTGAGCCTCTTTTTTGGTTGTTTCAAGAAAATATCTGTTCTTTTCCCCTAGTTTTCATCATGAGATTTTGGAAAAGATCTATCTCAATATTTAATACTTCTGTTATCAAACAAGGCCACCTAATCATATACAGAGCTGTTTCTTTCCTTATAATTTAATTCCTGAACATAATTCTCAAAAGTCTAGGACCAACAAGGTTTAGACAGTAAAGATGAAGTAGAAGATATATTTCTTTTTATGTACAAACAGAATAAGTATGTAGTTCAAGTCATCATAATTCATTTATTTACTCATTAATAAATTTAGTTTAGTAGCAGTTATTGAAACAAGAGATCAGTTTTTCCTCCACCATAAGGTATTATGGAAAAGTAAAGCAATAGTTTAACAGGGCGAAGGGTGGCCGAAATGGACTTTGACAGGGAAATAAATATTTGACCACAGGGAGCCAGTTCATGCATCTTTTTAGTAGTGTTCACTGTTTGCCTTCAGTTCTTTAATGTGAGCTGCTGGCAGCCACCAGAATACACCAGTGTTACGGGAAAATGGATTTGAGCTTTTCTTCCCTCATAGAGTCAATAGCACGCACTACTTTTTAAAGGTTTGGGGTTAAAAGTCGCCTACTTTCATTGCCTTATAATATCTAGAGTGGACTAAGTAATCAATGAAAAAAAATTACAGGTCAGTATGGATTAAAAAATAGACTTACAAATGAAGATCTAAAAACATGCTTTGGATTTTTTTCTTGGACTGACAGAGATAAGCCTTTGATTTTATTTTTATGTCTGTCAGGAAAATGTTACCATGTTAACAACCAGAACTGCTTCTTCCAAACGTGGCTTTAAAATTACTATATTTTAAAAATCAATTACATAGCAAAATGTTCAAGAAATCGCACCACAAGGATTGTGGGAGTTTTGTTCAGATTTTAGCTTGATAAAATGAGCTGCTATTTGACAGTGTTTGCTGCTATTTTAGCAAGTGATGAACAAATCCTTTAGCTAAAAAAAAAACAAAAAAAAAAAACAAAAAAAAAAAACAGATTTACCAACATTAAGGTGCTAGGAAATGACAGTCAGTCAAGTTGCTGCTAATTAAACCTATCCTGAGCACACAGAAATTGCTCTTAATGTGATTCCTAATGTGACTCAAATTATAAAATGGAATAAACAAGATGAATGAACCCAGTGATCCAATGAATGAGAGCTCTTAACTTTCAGCTCTGTTAGCACTCCTCAAGTGCACAATCTGTAAAGAATGCTGTGTAGGAGGGAGGCTGAGGCTTTACACACCACTTTTCCACATAAAAAGCTATTTAAAGTCTAATCATGGATGACAGCAGTAACAATGTATTGGCAAGCATTTGGGTAATGCTAACCATTGTGGAAATCCAAATACTTTAGAAGATGCGTAGAAAATCATTACAGTCCAGTACAGGTATGTTGAGATATTTAGTTATTTTGAACAGTTTGGGCTTATAAACTAAGAAACAAGTCCATTTCTGTCCTCTCTAATGTACCTGTCAATGAAAGATCAATTTTCATATGCAGAAAAATTCCATAAAGCATGCAGTTATTAAACTTGAATCTTCTCTCTCTTTTCTATCTTAGTTACAGGCAAACTCAAGTCACTTACTAAACATACCCTTGTCAAAGCAATGTACAGCTGTTCCTTTTTTAAATACAGAGGGAAATTTGGAGATCTGTAACTATTATTTTTATCCCTAGTAAAATATGTGTTCATTGTTAAAATTCAATATTAAAGCCAGACTAACTCAGTTTTAAATATTGATTCTACTATGATCTAACTGATGTTTTTGAGTTTATTACTTAATGTTTCTGTGCATCTACCTCCTTTAGGGAAAATAATAATAGTATGTGTATCATAGGATTGTGAGAATAAAATGACTTCTTATATGTAAAGTACATAGAATAAACCCTAGGATGCTAAAACATCAAGTATCATCACTACCATCATTATCATCTGTGTGTGCATTTTTTCCGTATGCGACAGCTCTGGTTGGGAATGCCTGCCTGGTATGTGGCAGCCTGCCGAGCCAATGTGAAAAGTGGTGCCATCATGTCTGCTCTGTCAGACACTGAGATCCAGCGAGAAATAGGCATCAGCAATCCTCTGCATCGCCTAAAGCTCCGATTAGCCATCCAGGAGATGGTTTCCCTCACAAGCCCTTCAGCTCCTCCAACATCTCGAACTGTGAGTCTGTTTGTGCTCCTCTGTTCCTCCGTGTTGGGCAAATGCAGTGTATCTAAGTCCACAGAGCAAGAACTGACAGCACACATTTCACCGTCACTCTGAACTATTCTAAAGAGATTTAGCTTACTTTTTATTAACTTTGCTGCTACTTTTAAGAGGTTTTCAATTGAGGAGTTGCTATTCACATCAGACTTTAAGTCTAAAAATCAAGATAGACTTTTGAGCTAGCATTTAGAGTTTAAATAATTTTTCCTTAAGCTGACTTTATTTCAAGAATTTCTTTCCTTCTTTTCTTTATAATGTAATCAGTTTTTCTCAGGAGATAAGATTAAACATTAGTACATTCTGACAATAACAGTTTAACTGATTATTTTAAACTGTTTTTGTAATTATTAAATTATACAAGCCTTGATCTTTTTAAAATGCCAAGTGGAATGACTTCCTTCAAAATCTGTTCACTTCTAATTTATAACTCCTATTCCTTTTATAATTTTGTGCCTAAAATAACATTTGAAACAAGAATATTGTGGAAAAAGGCTTACATGTGACAAATTCAAACACTAAGTAAAGCTCCCAAATGAAACTTTATTCTTTCTTTATCCCATTACCAAATTAACTATTTTCTATCTTGTACAACATTATAAAATATAGGATAATGTGAGACATTTGGCAATATAAAACATGGTGTTACTTTATTGCAGATTTTAGACACAACTAACTTGAGTATAACTTTATTATATATACTCTTGAACAGTTTTTTAAAAATTTGTTTGATTTCTATAAGAACTTGATTTCCTTCCAAAAATAGTAGATTCTAATGTCAGAAATACAAGTTCAAATATAAAAGACATATTTTCTTTCTATAATTACATTGTAGGCTTTTCCTAAATAAAATGTGGGAAAATATATGTAAATCAATACCTCTTACCTATAAGATTATTTTCGAATGAAGATAAATATTCTTTACTATTATATTACTCAAATTGAAAGAATAGAATTATCATGAAAATTCAATGGGCCTTTAAAATAGACATTATAAACCAAACTCAGATCTGACAAGTTTCCTGAATAATTTCCAGTTAGGAAGGCAGCACCACAAACTGGTTTATGTCACCACGCTCCTGTCAAGATCGAATGCAAGAAAAAAACTTAAAAAGTTTTTAATCTTGCCAAGAGTATTCAAATTCCCAATTTCCAGATGAAACATTATGCTTTTTATTTGGTAGCATAGTTCATTTTCTGATGAGTTAGATAAATTAAGCATTATTTCTCTAAGAATGTTTAAACTAAAGCGATTTAACTTACAGGATCTTGAAGGAAAGGCTTTAAGAAACAGGCAGAAGTAGAAAAAAGCATATGAAAGTTTGTGATCTAGTTGTGGTCCATTTCGAAGGCTTTTCACCCTCAGATGCTAATCCCAACAACACCGAGCTAAATACCAGTTATGAGCCCTTGCAATTCATCTTTCTGCAGTTGCTCTCCCTGGAATATTCTTCCACCTCGTGGTCACATGACCTCTCCATTGTACCCATTCTTATTGATCCCTTTGAAAAGTTTAGACTAATCCTTCTAAGTCTGAATTTCACTCCTTTCCTCAGTTAGTATTCTGTGTAATTATATGAACCCTTTAAAAATACTCTTTTTTGATGCATTCCTATTGGGCCAAGGAAGAATGGGGTCGAGTTTCCATAAGCCTTCAGTCTTAGTTCATTGCCAAGCACAGTGGAGTTATTTTGTAAACTCTTTTGGGATCATGACACAAGGCCCTCTTCCCGTCGTTAAAAATAATATGAAATGTGTGTTTCTCTGAATTCAGAAAGAGAAACTATGGCAAGGAATGTATGTTGACCAGTGGGCTGAGTGGGAGGTGCTATACTTTATGCTCTTCTATGAAAAGTAGAAGCGAAGTACTCCCAAGTTCCAAAGAAGGAGACATCACTTCTGGTTGGGTGAAGCTTCAAAAAAAGAATTACCGAAGAAACAAATATGTTTTATTTATAGTATTAAGCTTTATATTTGTTCTCAGAATACTGCATAACATTTTTAAAGTACAGAAAAATATAAATACAACCTAGCAAAAGTTTTTAAATAAAAATAATAATTACAAAGATTATATAATTTTTAAAAGTCATATCAATTTGATAGACTTTTCTAGACTTTACCAATTTATAAAGATACATTATTTCAGTAAAATAGTATTTTTATATATTCCTAAATACATTAATAGTGAAATACTATATATTTTTATTTATTTATACCTTTTTGGAAATGCCACAGTTTATACAACTAAATCTCTATCATTAGACATCTTGTTTATTTTACATTTTTCACTCTGTATAACATATGTTCATGTACTTATATTGTTGCATAAGCTATGGTTATTGCCATACCAAATTTACATACAAGACTTATTCTTAATATTTCTAAACTTTCATTGTCAAATTTTATTGTATTAGTTTTTCTTATCAGTCAATATTGGTTATGTCACGCATAAATTTATTTCTTTATTTTGGTTTTGTTTTTTGAGACTGGGTCTCACCACATAGTTGAGACTGACCTGGAGCTCACAATGCAGCCCAGGCTGGTCTTGAACTCACAGGGATCCTCTTGCCTCAGCCTCCTGAGTGCTGGGATTGCAGGCATGCACCACCACGCCTGGCCTCATTCTTAAATTTATGTTTTAAAATTACTGTTAAAGTTGAAATTTTAAACTATTTTTGCTGATGCATTACTTATATGAATTATCTCTTTATAAAAGTTTCAATATCTGAATAGAATTGCAGGAATATTTATTTTTATTAATATATATTCTTTATATTCAGAGGGATATATGCCTTTCTCCGGTTACTGATGCAAGATACATGAAATAAATTGTATCTCTTGCTTTAAAAATGGTCTACTAAATGTTGCTGCTTCTTTTTCTCCATCTACATAGAATCATTTACTCATCTCTAATATATTTCAAATATGATTTGTTTTGCATACGATATTTGCACTTAAAATTCTAGTCAAGAAGCTAATGCATAAAGTGAGGATTGATGCATCTTAAAGATAACATGCACAATTATATATTAGAGTTTGGAACAGTAGCCTATGGCTGTAATCCCAGCATTCTGGCAGGCTGAGTGCAGCCTGGGGAACTTAGTGACTTAATGAGACCCTATTTCAAAAATAAAATAAAACAAAGAATCGTTCGGGATGCAGCTCAGTGTTAAGGTTCTGGGTGCAATCGTCATTATGTCACACACACACACACACACACACACACACACACGCACACACACACAGTACATATCAGGATTTGCACTTAAATGAAATAAATGTAGTTCGTTTTAAAGAAATGTTATTCTATCTTTCAGAATACTGCTGTTTAGATCAGACAAGCATTTTTGTTATCATTGTTGTCTGTTTGTTTAAATCTGAGTCTGAGCGTCTTAGTCAGATGCCTGCTGTTCATGCACACGTCCTCACAAGGGGAAGGCAGGGTAATAAGGTGTGTTTTCTTGCTAACTTCTCAGTCTGTCTTAACTCACTAGAGCTTCAGTCTGATTCTGCCTCCTTTCTTTTCTAGTGGAATGGACTGGACCTCAAAATGAAAACCAAAGGGCCACATTTGTTATTTCCTCAGGCCAGCCCTTATCTTCTAAGTTTTCTTATTTCTTGTTTCCATGCTACTGCTACAGAGGAAGATTTCTTACCTAATTGATAGCAATGACAGTATTAGTTAATTACAGTTTGCTTCAAGAGAGATGTTGCAAAGAATAAATACATTCTTTATATATTTTATCTTAAGTTAAAAAAATCTTAAGTAAATTTAAATGAGGCATCTAGGACTTATTTTTAGTACATTTCCACTAAGCATATTCACTTTCTCTATTTTTTCTTTTAGATGACTTCAGTATAACTCAAAAAGCTACTTGAATGAAGAATTTTTGGGAGGTTTCACACTTTTCCCCATACTTTGAGAATGTTGTAGATCATTGATACCATGTTTTAAAAGATTTGCTTTGTCTGATCTTTTCAAATAATTCAACTTAGTCTTCATACATGAGCAACATTTCTTTCAATTATTGTCAATAATTTATTTAAAATACCTAATCATAAGAAAAACCAAACAGTGGAAAAAGGTAGGGTTGAGAACAAATATAAGTGATCCCTGACAATTATGCAATCCAACAAGTTTGTGCAGAAAGGGAAGGTGTCAGACAGGCCTGACTCACCACAGTGTATAAGGAAAATAAAGTGTATTTATTGAACATAAGATTTGTTTTAATAGAGGTTGCTTAATAATATTTCTACCTGAATTATAACAGTAGCCAACAACAAAAAAGTGTTGTCATCAACCATTCTAAATGTATTCAATATCACAACTCATGTCACCTTCATGTCCTCGCTATGAGATAGAAGCTTCTACTCTCTGATGGGGAAAACAGATATAGAAAAATTAAGTGATTCGCCTAAGGTCAATTTGCATGTGCTGTGCCCAGAGATTATGTTCCTAACAAGAACCTCTTGCTGGGTCCAGTACTGCACCAGCTTTTGGAGTATTTCTTCAGTTGGCTCTGATCTTTTTTCATCTTTACTCAACCTTTAATTAAAACAAAGTGAAATATAATTAGATAAAAAATCAGTTATTGTAATGAGATGATATGTTATAATGAGAAATAAAAATCCAGTTGCAGAGAAGTGTGAATCTAGGTCATTTGAATGGGAAAGGTAAATTTACGTTACTTTACTTTGTAATTCAACTATAAAGTAAACAGCATTTCAAAATGACCTAGGCAATAACAAAGGTTACTTTAAGATTTATGAGTACACTGAAGCTTGGTTCATTTACTTGTCCTGTAGGTCTGACAATAAGAGAACTAATTATTTTTCCCTGATTAATTTTCATTTTAAGTTTATTTAAAGAATTATTTTTCTACCGTAACTCCTTCAGTATGATTTTCAGTGGTACTTCTGTTCATGAGTTTAATTCTTTCCGTGATCTGGTCACAAACTGAATGGATGAGAAACAAATCAGATTCAACGATGAGATTCAATGCTGACCTATTTGGGGAAATTTGATTCACTTTTCATCCAGTTTGGCTTGTGACTAGAGTCCTGGAAAGAGCTGAGTTTTTTAACTGAGGCACCAGTGTAATAAGTACATGAGTTCTTAACATCATTTACCATTTCCTGCAAGTTCTCATTTGATGATACTTTGTAATATTTCACTCCAACCAGACCAGGAGGAGGCAAGCCACACACCTCAGGCAAAACATTGAAGGAGGTTCTCATTGTTGGGCCCAAACTTGCATCTGCACAACCCGGAGAGTGAATGCTTCCTTGATCTTCCTCGGATTTCATTTGCTTCTCATTCTAGTTCCAGTTCTGTGTTCGAACATACTAAGAAATTATGGAAAATTGTCAGTATTTTTTTCTAGTATTGAATATGAGCTTTTAGTTCTATCTAAGGCGTACGCTCTGAAATTTAGAAAGGAGAAGGAAATGTCTTTCACGAGCCACTGAAATGTGGTACTGTTAAATTTCAAGCCTCTTTGCTATAATTTGGTAATTATAATTTTATAAATCATCGGTTAGATTTAGATATTAGCCACAAAAATGACTACTAACTTGTACTTTCCATGTAAGGGGCTGCAGCACGGAGGGCCAAGGCCAATGAGCAGATGTTATGGGGCTGTCCAAAGACTAAGCTAAATTTAGTGACGTTTGTCCTTTATACTTTTTCAACCTACATTTTTTTGTTTCATTCATCTTTGCTCCCAAGCCACCACTGTCCTTATGTTCTCTATTTTATTATTTTATTTTATTAGTACATGTTAGCTTTACTATACTATAAAGGATGGTCTTTTCTCAAGCTCTAAATCACTCCTTCATGACATAACCAGATAAAAGTTCTAAATTGTTAATGGAAAGAAAGGATTGAGATTGAATGATTCAATTACTACATGTGGGCTTGCTCCTAGAGTATGTTTGTTAAACCTCAACTTGTATCTGCTTTTCTGGGTTGTACAGAAGCTATTTAAGGGGTTAGTTTGCATGATCATAGCACAGGCAGTGCTTCTCACAAGTAAAAGTATACAGCAAAGGTCAACAAACTTCTGCAAGTATGCCAAGCATACTTCAGCAAATTACCCTGGATATACACTCATTTTGCAGGAAAAAATATACATAAAATCAGAGCTTCCAGCTTCTTACCCATCTCAGAATCCTGAGATAGACATGGCACACATAAACATATAAATAATAAATTGTAGATGATAAATCTGTGTAAGAGAGTACAGATGTTTCTATTCTGCTATGGTATAGCACTGGTCAACTTTCTCATGAACGAAGTAATATCTTCATAATTCCGATTCAGAATCATGGTAGAAACTACAGAAATTAGCCTAAATAAAATCAGTTTTAATGAATTTGTTCTCAAATAATCATCACTGAACTCATTTTGAACAAAAAATGGCCACTCAGGCCACGTGGCCTGAATGTGACGTCAGAATGGGATGGATCACTGTGAAGTACCTTTTAATATGGTGCCAAATGAAAGCAATTTCAGATGTTCACATGGACCCTTCTGTCTGTAATGAACTTTATTGCCAAAATCTGAAAGTAGAATAGAGATTTTAATGACATGATTGGCTCTTACAGTCTAAGTATGTCTTATAAGTGAATGCAGATTTATTTTAAAAGGAAAATATTCAATGATTTACTTATAATTTGAATCTTTACTAACCATTTATCTTTGCCACACATACACACATGTGTGTATGTCATAAATATATATGTGTGTATTATATATGTGTGTATATATGACGTATGTGTGTCATTCATATGAGATTTCAATTCCATAAGATTATACTCATCAACTTAGTTTAAATAGTTACTATATATTATACTGGATTATTTTAAAATTATACTGGATTATTTTATTTATAGTACAAAGACAGTCAAACATGACATTATGTAAAGGATAGGAAAGTCCTGTGTGAATTACAGTGCTGACTTATGATATTTAAGCATCAATTCTGCTGCTTCTAACTCTAAAACAAGTAACAAATAACACATAATGCAAGTTCCATTAATATATTTGGACAACCTTTCAGTGTTCCTGAAGACTTCCCAGTGAAAACCTAGAATGTAATGGAAAGTCATTTCTAGTGGTTAGTATAATATAGCTGATTTATATTTTTGAAATAGACTTTGGATGAGAAATTGTTTATTATTCAGTATAGAGAAACAGCCATAGGGTTAGATCTATCTAGAAAGCAAGTGGGATTTCATGATACAATAGATAGAAAAAAATTCCTTTTACACTATCCTCTTCTCTGTAATGGTTAGGATACTGCTGAAGAATAAGAAAATGTATGGGTTTTACAATCTGACAGTATTTATGAGAATTAAATATAACTTTGATTAAGTTAAAATCACATTTCACTCATATATATATAT